TATCAATTATTTTAAATTCAAATAATATGGTTTTCTTGAATTCTTCAAACAAGCTTGGGTTATTGCTAGTGAAGATGAGATCATCCACATACAAACACATAAATAGAATATTATCATTAGCATGATACTTCATATAAAGAGTATATCCATGAAGACAATGAACAAATCCATTATCTTATTTATACAGCTATTCCATGCCCTTAGCGTTTGTTTTAGTTGATACAAAGCTTTCTTCAATTTTAACACTTATCTTTATGTCATTCAATCACAAAACCCAATAGTTACTCTACATAAACATCCTTGTTAAAATAACCATTAAGAAATGTAGAATTCATATCAAGTTGAAAAATTCTCCACTTCATTTGAGTTGAAATAGTTAATCACAAGCAAACAGTCTCCATGCAAACAACTAGTGCAAAAACCTCGTCATAATCAACTTCATGCTTCTGTTTATATCCTTTAGCCACAAGTCTTGTCTTGTATCTTTTCACATTTTCTTGATAATCCTTTTTTTATTTGTACACCCATTTAATGCTAATAGTTTTGTGTCCTTTGAGAAAAGTTAATAACTCACATCTGTTGTTTTTTTCTATGGATTTGATCTCTTCCTCCATGGCTTGTCTCTATCTTGCATCGTTCATGGCTTCATCAAAATTATTTATGTCAAAGTTAATAATCTCTTCAGTTTAATCATATGGATCTTGAATGATCTTCATCTTTTGTTGCCTTTTACTTAAGCTTCCTTAAGAATTATGTGATTCAACATGAGTTGGAGAAGTGAGTGGAATTATCTCTTGCAAAGGCACCATGGTCTTTTGGCCTGCCTCTTCAAAATATAGGAAGAATTCATAAATATTTTCTTTTTTACTTCTCCCAATTCTAAGTCAGCTTTTCATCAAATTCAACATTTCTACTCACCATAATTTTACCATTGCTTGGATTGTACAATTTGTAATTTTTTGAATTTGCATCATAACCAATGAAAACATGTTTGGCACTTCGATCATCAAGTTTAAATCTCTCTTATTGTGGAACATGAACATATGCAATGCTTGTAAAAACTCACAGATGATTAACACTAGGCTTTATTCCGCTCCATCCTTCTTGGGGAGTTTTGTCTTTCATACTTGGTGTTGGAGATCTGTTGGATAAATATATTGCATAAGAAATTACTTCGGCCCAAAATTCTTTGGACATCCTTTTGGTTTTCAACATGTTTTTAGTCATATTAAGAATAATTTTATTCTTTCTCTCCGCAACTTTATGGTGATTTTAGAACTACTAAAAGGCAATGAATTCTATTATATTCACAAAAATTATAAAATTATTTAGAAGTGAATTCACCTCCTTTATCAATTTTTAAAGATTATATTTCACAACTACAATTTTTTTTTACAAGAGTTTTGAAAGTTTTAAAAGTAGCAAAAGCATTTGATTTTTGCTTTAAAAAGTACAATTAAGTCTTTCTACTAAAATCATCAATAAATAGTAGAAAGTATTTGTTTTTACTAAATAAAGGTGGATTGATTGGTCCATATACATCAATATGTACAAGTTAAAGTTGTTTAGTTGCTCTTGTAGTGGCTTCTTTTAGAAAACTCCTTGAATGTTTCCCAAGTAGACATACTTCACATAATTGATTATGATGGTTGATCAAAGGCATTCTTTTCACCATCTTTTCTTCTCTCATTACCTTGAGTGCACAAAAGTTCAAATGGCCAAATCTTATATGCTAACACCATGTTTCATCTTCCATATTAGCCTTCAAACATTTTACTTCAATAGTCTTGAAATTCAAGACAAATATTTTATTCTTTGATGTATGCACTTTAACAATCAAATTAACATCTTAATCTCTAAGCCAAAGACAACAATCTTTCATGTAAATTTCATATCACTTTTAAAAAAGTTGGCCCACATTCAAAATATTAATTTTCAACTTTAGCACATAATAAACATTAGTAATGAGTACATGCCTACCATTTTTAAAAGAAATTAGAATTACACATCTCACTTGAATTTGGACTTTTGGAGAGTCTCTAAAAGAAACATTGCCATTGATCTTCTCATCAGGCTCCATAAATTTTTATATAGTTACACATGTGATTGCTTGCTCCAATATCTAAGTACCACCAATTATGGTTATCATTATCTCCATCTTTACATGCTACCAACAAAGTTATTTCCTCATCTTCTTGTTTATCATTTATAAAATTGACTTACTCCACCTTTTCGTTTGAAGGGTTACGACATTTTCAAGTATAATGGTCATATCTATGACAGTTGTAATATTCAATATTGGACTTGTTAGAATTTCTGTAATTACTTCTTTATTTTCTTCTTCTATGAACTCTACTTGACTGTTGGCTTTTATCTTCATTTTTGACATCATCTTAAGTGCCATTTTTTTAAACACTTGACCTCGATCACAACTATGTCCTCTACCTTATCTTTATCCTCTTTATCTTCCACCATCATTTAAAGAGGCATTTGATTTGAGAATTTGCTCCAAAAGCTCTTCTTGTTTTCTCTTTATTTTATTTTCATGAGTTTGTAGTGATTCCTCTAATTGTTTAAACGTCAAAGTATCTAGATCCTTCGACTCTTCAATGACACACACCGCATAATCAATTTTTGGTGGTAAAGATCGAAGAATTTTCTACACCATGTGAACATCTTCCATCGTCTCACCATATTTCCTCATTTGGCCCATTATAACCTTTACCCTTGAGAAAAAAAATCTAAAATAGATACAACATTTTTCATTTGCAAAGCTTTAAATTTGTCTCGTAAAGTTTGGAGTCATACATTCTTCACATTTTCAACCACTTAGAGGGAATTATTCAAAAGCTCTCAAGCTTGTTTTGCATTAGTAGCATCAGTCACCTTAAAAAACATAGATTCATCCAAACTTTGATGGATAAGTATAAGGGCTTGTTAATAACTCTTCGTTGTTTTCGCCAAAAAATCTTTCTCATTTTGAGTCAATAATGTTTTATCTTTAGATAGGGGAAAATTTTTATCTATAATATGTTATATATCTTATGAGTCAAACATGACTTTCATAGGTAGACACAAACTCTCATAATTTTCTTTTGTAAGAAGAAAAAATTGGAAGAAAAATAGATTATTATTAGTTATCTCCCTAGAATTTTAAGCTCTGATATCACTTTATTGAAAAAAATTGAAGAGATAGAATAACTCAATATAATACTTTGTTGAAAATAGGAGAAAGAAGTAAATGAGACTAATAGAAAGATTCAAGCTTTTATTTGTGGTTGATACTAAAAACTTTCAAATACATTGGTATATATGGGTACTAATACAACTCTTAAATTTTCAAACACATGAATGATAATTATGAACCATAAACAGGAAAACTCAAACGACTTATATTAAAGTCTAATTCATTAACCATAACCTACAAAAATTAAAAGACACATATTTATATTCTTAACTCTATATAAGATAAAAAGTCCTCAATTATTATTTTAAACTCTTTAATTAAATCTTATTAATTTTTAAATTATTATCTTTAACTCCTTAAAAGACAAAAAGTCTCATTAACTTGTAAATTATTATTTTTAACATAATCACTATATAAAAAGGTATTATTAATATCAAGTTGATGAAGATACTAGCCTTTTACAACAATGACCGCCAATAGGGTTTGAGTGATAGTTAATTTAGCAATAGGGGAGAAAGTGTCCAAAAAATCAATTCTGAATTTCTAGGTATATCATTTTGAAACTAACCTAGTTTTATATCTTTCAATATAGCCATTCTATTGTCTTTTGATTTTGTCGACCTGTTTAAACTAATGGGTCGCTTATCAAAAAGTAGAGTAACAAGATCTCAGGTTTGGTTTGCTTCGAGTGCTTTTATCTCAGTGACCGTTGCCTTTTTCCAGCATGGGATTTTAATAGCTTGGTTATAAGTTATTGGTTTTGGATCTTGTGAAGGGGCAAGAACTAAACTAAACTAACTAAACTACGAATGATTCAATCCAGTTCTGGTTTGTCGAATTAAAACTTAATCCCTACATTTGAAACAATTTATCAAAAAATGTTAAGTAATTATGATGATATAATTTATATCATAATTAGAAACTAAAAAGTTATTATTTTTGGATATGAATTATTCCTCATGTTACACTAAATCTCAAAAAAGATTTCTTTAAGATTTCATCTTCATATTTATTTTAATTCGTGATTTTTTTATATAATTGTGAAATTTTGGTAGAAAATGATTAAATTATCCTATAAAGGGTTTAAAAATTATAAAAATTGAAAATTTCTTTAATAAACATAAAAAAATAAATTTATTTTCAAAATTGTATAAATGATAATAATAAGCGTTAAGACGTGTATTCATATTTTATTCGTTCATAGAGTTCAAAAAAGCTGTAAAGATTTTTCTCTAATTTGGTTGTGCCCAAACTGTTACTTGCTACACTATGTACATAATTTTCAAACTTGCACTAGTTATTATATAACTCTCAATGTCCTTATATTAAAATGCATTTTATATAGATATAAGAGTTTTTACAATAATATCATTAGCAAACAGAAAAAAATGAAATATATTGTACCAAACAAAACGTTTTTGTTTAGCCCCAAAATATCAAAAGAATTTCAGGGAGTAATTTGATTTTAATGTAATGTATTTTAAGATGTTGTAACATTCTAATTTTATTTGAATAATTTTTTCATTTTTAAGTAAATTTTAATTTAGATTATTATTATGTAATTAAGAAGAAAAAGAATCAAAGAACAAAAAAAAAAAAAAAAGTTATAAAGTAAAAAGAGAAAGAAGTAAAAGACATGAAAAATGAATGAAACCCTAAAAGCCTAATCCAACCAGCCCAAAATCCGTTCAAAATTAACAAACACAGTTTTGCTGGCCCAGAATCCAAACCCTTTCTAAGTTCTGCCAAAACGACGCCGTTTATTTCAAACTACTAACAACCGAAACGACGACGTCAAGCGATTCAGGAGTTTTGTGGCTTTGCTTCCAGAGCCAGACGGTTCGACAGAGAGGCTTGCAGGTGCGGCGGGGGAGAAGAAAATAGAGCTGACAAACCGAAAGGCGCTGAGTAGGTTAGAATTCAGTGAGGAAAGGGAGATTTCGATTTTGGATCTTAAGGGAATCGAGAAGAAAAAGGGATTTCTGCGTTTGTACAGATAGGAAAACAGCAAGCGAAGGTGAACGAAAGCAAAAAAAGGGAAAGGAAAAGAAAGGTTTGGAACCCAATCGCTCCAGCCGTAGGTGTGCCTGAACCCCTTAACTTTTCTGATCTCAGTTAGGCTTTCTTAACAATGCAGTTTATTAATAAATGGTATATTGTATCTTTGTTGGATATTTCAAAAAGATTACTCTTCTTGAATGCTTATCGAAAATTGTTTTTTTTAGGTCCTCATTCAAAGCATTAGTATTCATTTCACAGCATAATTGTTTGCTAGTACATAGTGGATTTGTAAATGATATCATGTAAATTAAGAGAGTATGATTCCTGATATTAGTCATCTAATGGTTTGTTTGATTAGGAAAATGAGATACTTTAGGTCTGTTGATATTTCAAGTCTAGTTTAGAAATTACACTACTATTTATGCTTGGCCCTTGTTTTTTTCTAATTATGTTTTGTCTTACATTGTAGTTAAATAAAAGGTGAATACGAAGTTTGTTTAAGTTCGATGATCAAGTTAAACACCATTTGATGTTTCTTTTGGTAGACTATTTCCTTTTAAATGAGTCTGATTTTCCTTTCAGCATTATGGCATGTAATTGATTGGAAGCATAACATTAGATCTTTGGAAATGCTTGCTCTATAGCTTTTGCCTCATGATTTCACAGATAACTCACCTACCTTTTTCCTTTTCTATTCCTTAATGGCCATAAAACATATTAGTTCATATGAAAAATGTAGAAGAAATAAAATAACAACAAAAAGTAAAGGATAAATTTAGCTTGTTGGTCATGGATTAACAAAGTGCAAAAACCATGAATAGCACGAAAAAAAGGAATGCGGAGGAATTAATTATTCATGAGATTTTCGTTTGCTTTGTTCACTTTTATTTAAATTTCTCTTTAGATATATTTCAATTTCCCATTCCCTCATGGAAAATAAATATTTATTAGTGGGATGACTTTTGAATGAATGTCACTAACACACATGCACCATTAGTAGGATTTTGAATTAATTTTTGTAAATTAATTAGTTTCATCACATGGTTTGCGTATCCTATCTTCTTACCCCGTATTGACCCTCAACCAAAACATCTCTACAATTAGATTAGTAAATTTTCTTGCATCTGTTACCTCTTCCAATAGGATCAATGGTGATTTGAAAATCTTTAAAATTTAAAAATCTATTTTTATGGGGTTCTTTTTGTCTCGTGTTACTTCCATTGTGACATATGCAATGAAAATGGAATAAAAAGAGGAATGCAATTGGTTTATAGAGATAGTATGTGGTGAAGAATTAATTTGGTTGTAAGGTTTTTCCATTCCACTAAGGGTACTGTGTTTTTGGCTGCTAAGAAAGTAGAGTGAATGATGAGTTTGTATGTAATTTGTTTCAGCATTCTACAAATATATATATATATATATTTTGTTCTTTGGAAGGAAACAAATTCATTATGATCCTTTTCACATCCGTCTGGTCTATTTTCTGGTATGTGCTGGGATTCTGGTCTTTGCCAGTCCTGTCAATTTTGGACTCATGAAGACCTTGGTGCATAGAGAAGTAGCATAAAACCCCTCAAAACCCTCTTCTCCACACTTAGCTGAATGGTTTCCTAATTTCCTTTTCACAAAGAAAAGTGCTCTTTCGCTGGAAAACTTGCAACAGTCTGATGCTAAAGAGTTATTGCCTTATTTTTGTTTTTAAGGTTTGATTCTTTTTGCGAGAAAGAGGGAACAATGCCGTTGGGACTCATACTAGGGATAGGAAGGGCTATGCGAAGAAAGCGCACATCTTCTCTTGACATTCTCTCATCTAAACGAGCGCCTAGAGATTACTACAAAGGGAAGAATTGCAAACCCACGGGTTTCCATACACGAAAAGGTTCCATGACTTGCCGTCAACTTTACTTTTAATTGTATTTCTTATGTTTTGGTGTTTATTATCAATCATACTTGTAGTTGTCATACCTTGGAATTCTGGATATCGAGGAATCATTTTTCAACAAACTTTTTAACTGTAGCTGATTGACACTGTATGAGCTTTAGATATATGTTTGCTGTTGCATGTTGGCATATGTTGTTAATATTATTGAACCTGTGGTGGATGTTAAATTAAGTTTTTCTTCTTTTTGCTTGTGTGGTTATCTCATAGATCGTTTAGTGTGAAGTTAGTTACAATTTTGAATATTCTTATTCGTGAATAGTGGCATAAGAAGCTAATCAACATAGGAAAATTTTAAAGTCTTCGAATTGTATTTACAAGCTTTGCAGATTTAACACTTTACTTGTTTGAGGTGATGACAACTAAATCTCTTCAAAGACAAGCCTATGATTTTTTTTTTATTTCTTTTACTTTGGATCAATTTGAAAATAAGTAGAACATCCTGACATGGAAGTTACAAGTTCAATGGCTAAAGGCACTTACATGCTTATCTTCTTATCTTAAAAAATAAAGGATTTATCTTCTAACACTTATTGGAAAATGTTGGTGCAGGTGGGTATGTTGTGGTGCAAGAGAAATTGCCTAATTATGTTGTCCCTGATTTAACTGACTTCAAGGTATGTATATCTCATAAATATTTTTTATTTTCCTTTTTCAAATTTCTGATGGATGTTAGAATTCTGCAACTTATAATCAGGTGCATAATTTTTTTTATAAGAATCAGGCACACGTTCCCTTATTTTGTTTTCCCTTTATGTGGAAAAGATAAGAATGAAGGGTTTAACTGTTAGCCCATATTGCATCTTCAATCTATTACACCAAAAGCATAAATGTGTCAGAGACGATGAAGTTGAAATTAAGATCAAATTCATGTCCAAAATAACTTGGTCCAATGGAGAAGTATTCCATGGTGGAGTTTTTAGATACAAGATTTTTTTTGAGATAAAAGTGAGTAAAAATATTAAAAAGAATGCCGAAGGGGCGAATCCATGTATAAAGAGAGTATTTACAGATCAGTGAATATATCTACAATATGTCCAAGATCATCAAAAGAGTTAGGGGTTACGACCAAAGATGATGGAGCCAAAAAAGTGAAAGCCATCTATCCTTAATAAAGACAATTTGTTTCTTTGCCTTCAAAAATCCTACAGTTTCTTTCTTTTGAAATAATCCGAAGAATTGTTAAAGGAATGACCTTATGCCACTTTTTACCCGAAGTGAGTCCTTCCCAAGCTAACAATTCACCTTTGACCGAACTGGCCATAGCCCAAGAGACACCAAGCAGCTTGTATACCATAATCCATAGTTTGTAGGATGCTGGGCAGAAAAGAAGAAGATGGTTGCAAGATTCCGTATTCTGCTTGCCTAAGACACACCAGTTAGCCAACATAAAATCTCTTCTCATAAGGTTGTCAAGCGTGAGGATAGAGTTCATAGCTGCTTTCCATGCAAACACCGAAATTCTGGGTGGAATAGAGTTATTCCATATGATTTTGTAAGGGAAGACAGTAGTAGAGTGATTTTTGTCAATCAAGTTTCTGTATAGAGATTTGACAGTAAAAGAGCCATTTTTGCTTAGATTCCAACTTAATTTATCAGCTTCAGTGTCCATTTTAACATTTGCAAGGATTTGGATAAGATTTTCATATTCTTCAACAACCAGTCTTTCAAATTTCTGGTGACAGCCACATTCCAAGCCAGAGGGGAGCTGATTCCATAAGCATTTTCCATAAGAATATCTTTGTTTCTTGCGATAGCAAATATGTGAAGAAATTGGCATTGGAGGCTCATTTGTCCACACCAAGTATCATGCCAAAACCAAATTTTGTCACTCTTTCCAACAATTCATTTGGAATTATTTAGGATCATTTTACTAGAACTCCAAATACTCTTCCGTAGGCTAAGACCAAACTTGAACTTCTCCAAAATAGTAGGGTCATACATGTTGCCAAACCATTTGCACGAAATAACTTTCTTCCAAAAACTGTTATTTTCATTCCAAAACCTCCAAATTCACTAT